GGAGTGCAGTGGCGTGATCTAGGCCCACTGCAACCTCCACCTCCCGGGTTCAAGCAGTTCTCTTGCATCACCCTTCCAAGTAGCTGGGATTACAAGTGCGTACCACCATGCGTTGCTAATTTTTGTATTTTTAGTAGAGACGGGGTTTTGCCATATTGGCCAGGCTGGCCTTGAACTCCTGACCTTAAGTGATCTGCCCACCTCAGCCTCCCAAAGTGCTGAGATTACAGGTGTAAGCCACCGCACCCAGGCTGAATTTTTTGTATTTAAGTAGAGGCAAGGTTTCACCATGTTGATCAGGCTGGTCTGGAACTCCTGAGCTCAGGCGATCCGCTTGTCTTGACCTCGCAAAATGCTCGGATTACAGGCATGAGCCACCTCGCCTAGCCCCAAGAAAAAAACTCTTAGTGTGTTTTTTTCCCTCTCACCATAGGGCAAAATAACATGGCAGCCAGACGAATTACACAGGAGACTTTTGATGCTGTGTTACAAGAAAAAGCCAAACGATACCACGTGGATACCAGTGGTGAGGCTGTAAGTGACACTCTTCAGTTCAAAGCTCAAGGTAAAATGAAGTAGTGTTGTTTTGTTGTTGTTGTTTTGGTGAGGGTGTATCTTAGGGCCAGGGCAGGAAGATTTCAATACCTTGGACAAACAATACTACTTCTGATACTTACATCCTTACTTTCCTTATTTAGGAGGAGATATTTTTGTGTCTGTGTGCGTGTGTGTTTGTGTTTGAGATGGAATCTCACTCTGTTGCCCAGGCTAGAATGCAGTGGCACGATCTTGCCTCACTGCAACCTCCGCCTCCTGGGTTCAGGCAATTCTCCTGTCTCAGCCAACCAAGTAGCTGGGATTACACACATCCACCACCACGCCCAACTATTTTTATGTATTTTTAGTAGAGCTGAGGTTTCACCATGTTGACCAGGCTGGTTTCAACAAACTCCTGACCTCCAGTGATCCACCCACCTTGACCTCCCAAAGTGCAGGGATTACAGGCGTAAGCCACCGTGCCCAGCCCAGATAATGGTTTATATTTTGGTTTGGTTTAGTTTTTGAGACACAGTCTCACTCTGTCCCCCAGGCTGAAGTGCAGTGGCACAGTTGTAGCTCACTGCAACCTTGAACTCCTAGGCTTAAGCCATCCACTCGTCTCTGCCTCCCAGAGTGTGGAATTATAGGCATGAGCCACTGCACCTGGTCAGGAGATAAGGTTTTATATGTCAGTCATCATTATGCAGATATCTGGAGCTTCTCCCGGACCCACCTCAGGACAGTTTTTGTTTGTTTTGAGTTGGAGTTTTGCTCTTGTCGCCCAGGCTGGAGTACAATAACAGGATCTCAGCTCACTGCAACCCCCGCTTCCTGGGTTCAAACGATTCTCCTGCCTCAGCTACCTTAGTAGTTGGGATTACAGGCACACACCACCACGCACAGCTGATTTTTGTATTTGTAGTAGAGATGGGGTTTTACCACATTGGCCAGGCTGGTCTTGAACTCCTGACCTCAGGTGATCTGCTCTCCTCAGCCTCCCAAAGTACTGGGATTACAGGCTTGAGCCACCGAGCCCAGCCCAGTTTTGTTTTTTAAAAATAGATATGGGATCTTGCTGTGTTTTTCAGGCTGGGCTTCAACTCCTGGGCTCAAGTGATACTCCCACCTCTGCCTCTGGCGTGTTGCAATTACAGGTGTAAGCCATGCACCCAGCTCCGAGACAGGTTCTTGGATCCATTTCCTGGCTCCATCCCCATCACCACTACCCAGGTTTAAACTCTTTTTTTTTTTTTTTTTTTTTTTTTTTTTTTTT